TCTATCATTTATATATATATATAAACACACACACGCGCGCGCGCGCGCGCGCGCGCGAACTTGCATATAAAAAGAGAACAATATAATATGTATATGTATTATGCATATGTATATAGTAGTATAAAACAACTATTAATGTACTTCTATAATATAAAATACTAATAATATTATATGTGCAAATTATATGATATTATGATAAATTATGTATATGCTGATATAAATATGTATATTATTAGATTCCCTAGTCTGTGTACTATTTTCTGTACACTGAAACAGATTTTCGGATCAAATGATATGTTTATATATCAAACTCTATAACATGTAACTGTTTTCAATATACATATTCTAAAAATTACTCTTAATTACTCAAAAATGGCTTATTAGGGAATATATTATTTTAGTTTATAACTACATGTTAGAATCTGTTACATTGTTAAAACTGTCAATATGTAAATAATACATAAACTTATTACATAGGAAATTTAATCGAATTTATTAATGCAATATTTAATTTTTATTGTATGTTTAATATAAAATTAACATTGTTATATTTTGTAAATATAGAGCAAAATTAAAAGATGCACAAACATATTTTGCTTTCTCATAACAACATATTTTTTTTAATTATTAAATATTAATTATTAAGAAACGAAAAAATATATTTTATCTTTACAATTAAATGGAAATTCAATAATTTATAATTATACATTTTTAAGAATGGAATGCATTCCAAATAAATATATTAGCTTATAAAATTGTTATATTATATAATATATATTATATAATANTTTAAAAAATTGTTTTAAATATAAATTCTTGAAAAAAAATTGAAATTTTTAAAATTTTTCAAATTATAATTTTATAGATATAATAAGTTTTGTATTGAATTTAAAATCAAGTATATAATTTATTTTAATTCAATTTTATTAATTTTATTAAGTTTATTATAATGAATATAACAAAAATATAAATATTATTAAAAAGAATAAAAATCTGCAAAAAATTTATCTTTTTATAAATATTATATTTGATAAATTTATTTATAATTATGAAACTAATCACATGCTAAAACTTATTATATTCATATCTTTGAAGAATCGATTTTAGAGATCAAAATAAATATAAAAAGTGTTATATAAAAGTATAATTAATATAAAAGTATTAATTAAAGTTTATTTATTAAACTGTAAACAATTCACAAAAGTTGGACAAGCAAAAATAAAACTATCTCTGTTTTGCTTCGTTTAACGCAAATTTTAATTATAACTTAATAAATAAGCCTTAACTAATATTCTTGTATATATCTTTGTATACTTTTGTATTTATTTTGGCTTTCAGAACAACCATTTAAAAATGTTCCATAATATGTTAACACTCTGTATATATTTATTCTATAGAAAAAATTGAAATATTTATTTTGTTAATTATTCTATCAAAATATGTTATTATATTTTAAGTAATAATCATATTATTAATTCACATTTATTAAATGTGAAATAAAAAAAATATTTAGTAAATATACAAAAAATTGTATAAAAATTATTAATATTATTATTAATATAATTAAATGATATATATATATATATTGTGTTTTTAAATATTTAATCCCCAACATATAATATAATATATAACATTTATA